CTTTAAGAATTTCAACACCCACAAGACACTCACCTACAATTTGCAACCTTCAGCGTACGGAAACGAGGAGGCGGCAAGCGACAGAGACAACGACGAAGGCAGAGACGAAGCGCAGTGGCTTTCTTTCGTGTCGGTATCCGCAGGTAAAGAAGAAGGAGAAGGAGAGAAGAAAGAAGAAGAGATGAGGCAGAAGAGGTGGAGGCAGAAGCTGAGGACGAAGCAGAAGGTCAAGGGGAGGAGCAGGAAAGAGAATGATGTTGCAAGAGGAGGAGCAGGACAAGAGGACGATGTTAAAAGAAAAGGAGCAGCAGCAGCAGCAATCGGTTGCCCAGGACATACTTCTGAGGCGAACGTATCTGCAGCGAATGTGCGTTGGTCGTTGCTGTGTCGCAAGAGTGTTTGTCGAGAGTCTGAGATTCTTATGGCTCATTTGTTGTGTTTTTGGTGTCTTGATAGTTACCGACAGCTGCAGAGCACGCATCCAGAGCAGGATAACACGAGAATTCGGCAGCTTGCGACGAATATTGAGGTGCTGGTGTGCCAAAAGGCGAATACGCGGGTACGTACTGTTTTGTGTTGACGACATTTGGGGTCGTGAGATGAGTTACAGACTCTTTTTCTCCTCCTTTTCGGTTCCTGACCGGGTCTTGTGCTGTGGACTAGAATGCTTACGTAACTGCAGTTTATTATGAGATTTATAAACTCTTGCAGGTCGAAATGGCTCAAGCCAACAACGCTGTCCTGTATTTAAGCGCGAGTCAACGCTTCGACAATTTGCATCACGAGACTCAAGCTCAACACTCGGCAGTGTCGAGGGCGATGCAAAGTAATTACTCCACGAATCAAGCCTCACAGTCGCACAGTTTCGAGTACGCTCTAGCACTATCTCGGGACACGAATAGCAGCGACGAATTGTCGGCATTCTCTGCGACAAGCCAGTCTAGTACCGACACGTTTTCGACATTCTCTGCACCAAGTCAGTCGATGGGTGCAGTAAACTCGTTCCAGTCGATGATGGGTGATCAGACGCAGTCGTGTCGACCAACGATGCGCACACACAACAGCAATAGATGAACGCAATTAACCAAGGCTTGAACACGCAGGGCCACCGGCACTGAGAGCCCGATGCTTTATACCCTCCCTACGGTCGTGTCACCATCTCTTCGGAACTTCTCGGTCCAAAGTAACGTCGGAAATTCGCCAATGCAAGTTTCATCCCACGGCAATGTGGAAGGACAACAGCAGCTTGACGATCAAAATGAGCAATTTACAGGTGAGTGTCTTGTGAGTGTTGAAATTCTTACATTTGCGTTCATTCTCTTTGACCAATCATAATGATTGATTATAGCCAATCGAAATATTTATTTAGGGTGTGGACGTTTAACGTTTGGGTGGTGGATGTATAACGCTTCCCATAAAAAATATTCGAAATAACGGACAATATACACAAATTGTAAGGGAAAATGAGTAAAAAATAAATTAAGGTAATCAAAAACTCTTATCAAAATAAGGCTGAACAATAAAATAGTACAAACATATATATATTATTAAAAGTTTAGATATAAAGTTCAAAAAATGGTGGGAAATGAGTTAATACAGAAGGACCATATAAAATATTAAAATGAATCAAAAAGTACCAATAAAGCTGCATGAATTCGGATTTATAGAAATGTGTCAGTACAGGATTTTGTTTGGGCCATAATAGTATTGGTGTTGGCAAAGTGAACTTAAAGCTGGTTTCGAAATAAAAACTCTGGTCATCCCTAAGAGATGTCAACTTTAGTAAGCAATGCTTTACAATCTTATCTATCGATTAGGTACCCAGACATCAGCGGTCAATTTCTAGCCAAAATGGGCCCCAGAATATCAAACGCGCACCCGCTTTTTTGGCGAGATTTCCTTCTTGCAATAGCCTAAGTAAGTGAATCATATCGGGCTTGCTTTCGTCACATCCGGCCTCATGGCGGTAGACACGGGCGGTGATTGCCAAGGGTAGACTCATGACCGGCGGCGTCCCCGCACCAGGCCTCACTGCTCCGGCACACGCATACGTCATTCAGAGAGATCGCGTAAGTGGTCGTAGAGGGGGTCATCACTCGACACCTGCCATCGCTTCGGCATGTCCACAATTCCGATAGACTGGCTGTCCGAGCGGCCGCAAAAGAGATGAAATTAAGGCATGCGTCGATTACCAGGCAACAGCAGCTGCTAGACGACCCCGAGAGCGTGACCGAAGGCGTTTGACCCCGTATAATGACTGGACTCGTCTGCGCCCCGACGATGCCATACAGGCTCATGAAGTATCGTACGTTTTGCAATCCATATGGCTACACATATGTTCAGGTCTGCCTCTCTATTTTATCCTTCTTATGAAGCACCGTATGCCTTCGTGAAACGGCTATTTGTGCATGATCAAGCAACAAATATCATACAACGCGCGAAGACCTTTTCCACTAACACGTGATAAGTGTGCTAGAATAAGAACACGAGCATGCAAGATTTTCCTGTCAACAATCAGTGCGCTCTTATGCTTCTTAGCTGCCAAAATCGCTTTATAAGCCTAAAGGTTTATACCAGCAGCGCGAACGCCGAGGGCATCGTGCCCCACATCAAGTGACAAATCTGGCAGCTAAGAATATAGACTACGCTTGAAGTTGGCGACTCCAAGGACTAGAACACGTGCTGCACAAAGAAAGACGTGTCGTACTGTCGCGTAAATCTTATGATGGTCTTGTGATGGGAGAGACGCATCAAGTTTGCTGAACGAGTAACGATTGCTGAACACGATTGCTGAGCACGATGGACATGGTACTCGATCAACGACCCGAAAGTTTGGACTAGTATGTCCAACTTTCTCTTATTCCGCAATTTGCAACGAACAAACCGAGCCGAGTCACGCCTTCCTCGGTCGCCCCAGTCACCCCTTCCTCTGTCGCCCCAGTCACCCCTTCCTCTGTCGCCCCAGTCACCCCTTCCTCTGTCGCCCCAGTCACGCCTGCTTATTCTGCACCCAGTTACGCCTTCCTATTCCGCGACAATGATCTCATCAGGCAGACTATTGACTACCACGGCAGTCACATTCCTTCTCCTCGGTAGTGCGCTCTCCACGCCGACAACAACGATGACATTAGACAACATTTTGCGCTTATCCACTGGTGGCAACGCAAGTGAAGATGCCTACGAATTGCGAGCGATGGGATCGCCGATTCATGGGACGATTGAGCTTGATGAATCGAGGTCGTCTTGGTTTCAATCATTGCGATCGTTCTTTCAGAGCTTCAAGTCGATCTCAAATTACAAGCTCAACGAGCAAGCTTTCCGGAGCGACAAGCATTGGCTGCATAGAGTCAGCCGGTTGGACAAGGAGAAATTAGACGTTCTGTTTTATAAATGGAGTAAAGGAGACGTAGATGAAGACCGCGTCAAAAATTTGTTCGTAGGGGCTGGTGTAAGCACAGAAAAAGTTGCTCGAGTGCTGAACCTGTACAAGAAGTACAAGCTCAATTATGATCGTAAACAAGCAGAAGAAAAAATTAGATTCGCGGGAAAACCTGTCGCTGATCTTGAGAAAGCTCGTCTAGAAAAGAAAAATCGCTAAAATGTAACGTATCTTTTGCCGAGTGTCGTGTCCATGTCGTGACTTACAAGACAAGTTTTCTGCTTACTGCATCCACACGTCAGTCAGTAGCCTTGTAGATGTGTCACCAACCTCACGTCTACGAGCCAGTATCGGCGTTGCCAAAAAGGTCGTGCGGTACCGCTCCTACCTGGCTAACATTTAGTAACCCACAGACGCAACTAGTTTCAAGCTCTGGCTCTGACTCACAGCAAGCCGCAGACGTCAGTCGTTTGCGCTGCTGCAAGCAAAGGAGATGATGCCGATGAGTCAAATGGCTATTGCTTATGCACTACGCAACTACGGCATACGAACGAATGTTAGTTGCTTTCGGTTTTAAATCGGTATAGCAAAAGCCAATGATTATCGCTTGACGATGCTCGTAGCCAAGCATGTCACAGCAAACTATTGTTACCGATCGATCACCATATTTCTGTTGCCGGCCGAGTGACAGCAACGTATCATGGTGATCGATAGGCGACCTGGCTACAGCTACATCATTGCAGCACTTCGTGTGCACGATGATAAACCTCTAACGAAGGTCGGCAACTTTGGTCAATACGTGGCAACATCATGTCGCGCTGATTAGTCGGTTGCTAGACATAAAAAAGCTCTGCGTGCACCACGTCTTTTCGTGCCTCATATACTCGTCACCCATCTGGCATTTGCTCAGAAGTTCTGCTAGTTGCTGTGGCGCCCACGATCATGGCACTCCCAGGGAGAGGAACCGACTTCGGGCGCGTTGCATATTTTGGTCTATATGTAAACGGCGAAGCACCATGAACGTTAGACGATTCGAGAGGAAATGTGGGTAGATATTGCTAAACTGCCAACAGCTTGACCACTAACGCAATGGACACCGACAATGCCAAACTTAATGGTCAAGGGCAGGGTGAGCCTCAACGGCTCATGAATGGAGTGTGGGGTCACACGTGCAGACTAGGAACACTACGAGCAGTTTGTACGGCATACGTAGGTCGACGACACGGGATTTCGAGGTCAGCAATACGGCGTTGTAACACATGTTTATGGTTGGTGCCGATCCGAGTTTCGATGAAGGACGTTTGTCACACGATAAGTATATAATTTGACCACGCAAAGCGCACTACACTCAACCACTACTGAGCTCATCTGCGACTCTTCCTGCATCTCGACAACGATCATTGTGCCCTGACCAGACATGCCTTCCGCCACTTTTGTCACGGCAAGCACGACGCAGAGTTGCTTTGCTAGGATGGACAGTTATCTGGCGTCGTCACTCAAGTTGCAACTGCTGTAGACTTTCCATGTGCACTTTTGTCTATATACACCCTTGACCAGCGAGCGGTAAGTTCCTCATTTGTCGACCCATGAGGTGAGGCACTATATTCTCCACTTCCCAGCGCTACTGGAATATCTGAGCCTCGGATTTGCCAAAGCACAGCTGACTTATTTGACGGTCCCACCACGATATGGCCGGGCTACCCGGTCCGCGCTTTCGAATCTCTTCACGCACCTGCTTGGCCACGGCGTCGCGCGTTTTGGCAGCCGTGCGACTGCGTTTGAGGTCATAAGCCTGGCCGATCAGCGCACAAAAGTCAATAAAGGCTTTCGTTGGGTTATACTGTCCACTGAGTATCCCCCACTCGCTTGTCGCGTAGTCAGACGGGTACTTGTGGCTGTTACAACAAACGAGTGCATCGACACCCACTTAATATGTAAGTCACGGCAAGATAGACGGGCCACGTGCAGCGCCCATGTCAACACGAACACATACGCACAAGAGGCCACGTCAACGGGCATGCGAAAAAAACGTACTGGTAGTTGTGATAGCCTTCGCCCAGGGCGCCAAGAGCGACGACGAGGCTCTCGACAGCACGGAGCTTGCGGTCGTACGGCTTGTAGCCGAAGAAGTGCGCGACGCTGTTGACCATCCACGTCATGTGGAGCACCCAGACGTGACGCAAGACGCCACCGACCCAGAAGCCAATGTGGGCGCTCTGGAACCAGCACGAGCCCATGGCCGTGGGCACGAGGTAGCACATGAGCAGCACGAGTTTGCCATAGTGCCGCGTCTGGAACGTCACGACGGCGTCGGCCCGCAGGTCGGCAAAGTCCAGCGTCTGGCCCGCTTGGCGCACGTGCGCGTGTTTGCGCAGCATGATCCAGCCCATGTGCGCGAAGAAGAGGCCGCGCTGCGAGTCGTGCGGGTCGGCCGTCGTGTCCGAGCCCTTGTGGTGCACGCGGTGGTCGCGCGCCCACTCGAAGATCGATCCCTCGAACGCCATCGAGTTGCACAGCATGAGGAAGACGCGCAGCGGGCGTCGCGCTTTGTAGCTGCGGTGCGACCAGAGCCGGTGCGCGCCGGCCGTGATCCCGAGGCCCGAGACGAGCCACAGCCCGAGCCACAGCACGAGCAGCGCGCGGCCCGAGCAGCGCGGCACGACGCAGAGCAGTGCGTAGAGCGCGCCGACGTGCCACGCGACCAGCACGAGGACGTTGTACCAGACGACGTCCGACCACTGGAAGCCGACCACGGCGTCGGTCCGCTTGACGCCGGCGGCTGTCAGTGCTGCGGTCGATCGGACGGCGTGGGGCGGCGGAGGCGCTGACGGCATATTTGGGACTGACGACGACGACGACGACGTCGGCGACGATCGGGAGTGCCAACGACGCGCGAGGGGCGTTTGGCGGCTGGCGATTGGTCCGGTTGCGATCGCTGTCACTGCAGCGGTGGGGTGGGGTGGGGCGAAGCGCTGGCCTCAGCTGAGGGAGGGGATCCACTCGCCAACCAGCTGCTGATCTTTTGGGCGAGAAGGAGGCGGATCGAAAGTCGCAGACGGTCGAGTCGAAGCGGCAGACGAGCGCAAACGAGGACGAACCGCTGGACCGACTTGTTGACTGGACCACGGACGTTCTGCTTGTAAACGGCATGGGACGTAGCGAGCTGCTGCTCGGGCAGCTACGCGCAGCTGCTTGCTCCGACGTGAGCACGACCTCATCGGCTACGAGTAGCGAGAGACGTTGCTGTTGATTGCCCATGCCCATCGTCTGGCTGACATGTTGCAGGGGGACCGCCACTGTTGGTGGTTTTCATGTGTGCCTTGCGGTCTTAGCCAACGCGTTCCGTCCGCATTGTCGTGCGCTTTTCGCAGTCACGAATCTGATCGTCGTCGTCGATCGTCTGACGTCCGAACGAACACAATCGTCAAGTAGCGACACGCAAATGATGCAGTGGGACGCGAAACTCGGTCGGGTCTGCCAATTCACTACACAGTCCGATAGTCGCATTCCTTCGCTGCGTTTATGACCACGTCTTGGACATCATCTTGATACAGAACGAGGCCTTTCATCACGTACCGTCTACGAACGAGATTCGGTGATGTCACAGCTGGACGAGTGAGTGTAATAGGATTGCAAGTGTCATGTCGACCTCCCTCACGTGCTTGTGCGACAATCGGTGGCCCCTTCTTTGCTTCCATCCGGCCAAATTCGCGTAGACGCGTAGACTGTTCGTAGATCCTCTCGTGGGCGGCGCCTTGATGAGTGCCAATGGAGAAAGAGCGCTGGCACCATTGCTCGTGACTGTCACCTGTCGTTCGTGAGCGTTGCTTTTGCAAAAAATTGAGCCCGACACAGTCTTGGCAGCGTGAACTTTAGCAATGTCGGAATAACAACACCACATCGATGGACTAGTGAGAAGTAGAGTGTATACCGGTAGTCTTGCCGTTCTCGCGTACTTTGAGGCGATAACTTGCGCTTGTTGCACGTCGAGAGCTGGAGCCGCCAAGAGCACAATATCAAGTCTGCGTTCCTCGCTTATGAGTGCGACACAAGTCTAAGCATTTCTCCATTATGACAAGGCCGTGCGTTGATCATGTCAGCGGATGACATGCTTCGGCGTACATGATAAAGCTGCCACGTCAGAGCTAGTGAACATCTGAAGCTTACCCGCAAACAGCGGCACATTCGTTGCGGATCTGTTAGAATGGTGCGGTACCAACAGCTCGGACGACACCGAGTCTTGATCTTTGCTTCGGTAGCATCTCCGAAAGCCGTTTCAATATGCAATGTATGACACGGAGGGAGGCAATCACAGAGTCGAGTTGCTGCAACGTCTGCTGACCAAGTACCACACTATCCTGAAAAGAGGCGAAACTATCTACCTGTACTTCACGTTGGCTCATTAGGTTATGAGTTAATAAGGTATTTGTCAGTGATGACAACGATTTCGTAGAAGTGCTGACGACGGCGATGAGAACAAAGAACTTAGCACAGGAGAACGTCAGCAAGCCCGTGTATGCGCATCAAGCAACATGGAAGAAGCTAGCGGGCTATTCAACGTGGTGTAATCAGTCAATAAAGGTCTCAACGACACCACTATGCTGCAGTCATCGATCAACCGTCTCTTTCGTTTATACGCCTACGCTTCGACATTGTAGGAGAGGATCGATAGCAATACGTTCGCTTGGTGCGAGTGACGTCTTGTGCTAGTCGATGCACACAGCTGCTTCCATAAGTGACATGTCCATTGCAATCGACACAACTGACTTTTGAGGATAATCGGTCAGCTACGTAGTCACTCACATGGACAAACTTGGCAGAGGATAGCACCTTAAGCATCGACACTCTTATAGCAGTGGCTCTGATATGACATCACTCGTGTCACATACGCCACTGCTTTGCGTTACCTTTGACAAGATGTTACTGTTCATGATGCTCGATGAGTGCAATCGCCGATGTGAAACATAATCGCTCAACGAAAGCTTCCGCCGCGCTATTTGTCGAAGAGTGCGTGAGCGGCGAGATGGTTTCCACACTCATGCTGTCAGAATTTGACGATACGCAGCAAAGATATCTGGCAAGATATTTGTGGAGGCACTTACTAGAGTCGTTGCAACAAAAGCAAGAGTCTTGTTCTACGCACCATTGCTTGAGGAGTTCCATTAGCTCTCCTCGCTGCAAACAGCAAGGATGCAGCAAATTGTCATTACATCCACCAATGGATTCGATACTGCTGCGACAAGAAATGAAGCATACCCGTCGATCGACAAAAGAGGAGCGTCAACAACTTATGCCGGTATTATCACATAGCGTGGACCTGTTCATGAGCCACTGCATGTTCCATGTCGTGACTTTATGTATCAACCAGCTGCTCCATCGATGCACCTCATATAGCGGAGCTACACGAAGGTCAATTTGCACGGCTTAGCAGAGTGAACAGCCGACGTGGACGGACCCTCGTACAATCTCCCAAGCCATAGCATGCGATGACTGCCTCTACAGCTCCTTGAGAGAGCTAGCTACTGCCACTCGACGGCAGCTTCTTCTGCGTCTTCTGCTCATACTGCACTGGCGTCCATGTCTTCATCTGTAGAGCATGGATGCGCGTCATCTCCTCCTTTAGACAGTCGTTCACTCGGCGCTGGCGCTCCAGCAGCGATTGACCTGCATGTCACTTTGAATCAGTGCTGACTCAAGACCGCTCGATATCCAGTGCTACGAACCTTCGAAGCCTTCGTGAACGACCACGAGGCTGAACTTACTGCCGCATCCGTCGGACAGATCGACGGCTTCCACGAGAGTCGCACCGATGTCCTGGCGGATCTTGGCCTCAAGCTGCGCAGGCGTCACCACGTCCATCACCCGTTTGCTGGAAAAGTCCACGGAAAATATTAAATATAGGGAGCCGAGTTCGGCCCCTCTCACTCCGTTGGTTAGACCCCACCTTCGATAATGCATATACTTATTTCGGAAAGTAAGGTCTCAGATTGGTCCTGCAATATCAATTGAACGAGCCACGCAGTATTTGGCACCAACATAAGCAGTTGTGCTACAGTTCCTATAAGTTGGAGCTACGAAATCGAATTTAGGTGAGCTTGTGACGACTGTTTGGCGGTGCATCGAGCATTAAAAGCAGCAGTGGTTTTTTTCAACTAAGCCGTCATTAATATTGCATGACTATGTCTCATGAGTTATGTAATAGAGTTCATTTCTTAACAGATGACTGATAAGCTCATGCACCAATGCATAACAAGGGTGTGTGTTCCCAAAACTCACGTAGACCCTACGCGCATAGGAAGTAAAGATCTGAGCAAGAGTTGCTCTGTAACGGGACAATCGTCACACGTACCCACTAAGTAAGGGTTGCTTAGCGGGAAGGTATGATACAGTACATAAGTACATGAATAACACTTGGGTGTGGTACACTAAGTGTATTCACCCATGCATAGGTGACATATATGAGTTTTTTGTTGTTCAGATGGTCTATTTGCACAGTGTTAACTATGCGCCTTAACCTCTGCAGTTTGCTAAGCCAGAAGTGAGCGCCGGGAGACCCGGAGGCTAATCGTGGCTGGTCCCTATAAGAGAGACTCTCCGAGGAGCTCACCCATCTGCGATGGTGGCCCCCTTCAGCCGCTTACGCGGCCCCCGGACGTGGAGTGTGCGCTCGCCGCAGCGGCGACACGTGGCGGGGGTACGCCTCCAGTCCATAAAACACCCCTGCTTGGCCGCTTACGCGACCCGTCGGTCCCCTACGCCCACACCCGCGACTGCGAGTGCAGCGCGCCCGCGTCAGATCTTCGACCCCGTCGGCTCCCCTAGGGGAGGATTCCCTCCGACGTGACTGCCCCGAAGGGAAAAGCCTGGCTTGAGCTGAACCGTGAAAATTTGGGAATGACACATATGAGTTGTATTCACCTTGAAGGGGATGATGTCCAGTCGGTACATGGCGTCTTCGTGACGTCATCGAAGGACGTCATCAAAGGACGTCACCTTTATTGGGAGACGCGCATCTTAAGAGATGGCGTCTAATAACTTGTATGTTTTAGCCAATCATGTTTTAGGTTTTTATTAAAATAGTTTCTATCTTAATATAAGTCAATCTTGAATTTCTTATCTATCAGTAACTGCGCGTGGAAGGCTATTCATAGCTTCCACGGCGCAGCTAGGTGTCTAGTTAAAAGCTCGTTGCGCGGTTCGCTTAGGCGACCGGCAACTGTCCAATGCAGCGCCTTTTGCGCCGACCAACCTCACCGCAGCACGCGAGTATGACGGGTAAAACGCTTCCTCACTGTGCAAAGGTGTGTGGTCGTAGTGCGTGGCGGCTTAGTATAAGCACCCTTCTACACTTGGTGGTACTAGTAGTCCTTCCCACAGTCCGTCTCTCTGAGCGAGCGTGAGTGAAGAAGAGCCTCAATATTGATTGAGATCAATTCCCGCTTCCCTCGAAACACCATCGAGAGGTGGTGGAGCATATGGCGCAGGGAATTGGTGAGCAATACCTGGCCGATCTCTTAGGCCGTCCTCCTGAACAACATGCTGTTCAGTTGGATCAGTTTGAGGCGTTTGTGCTCGAACAGCGTAAAAACGCGTCCGAGGCGCATGAATATACTGCAGTTGAGTGTATGTATTAGACTCAGGACGAGCTGCTGCGGGAGCAGGATCGTAATGAGGCGCTCAACAGAACTGTTAAGACGCTCTCTTTCCGGTCTTATCAACCGAGGCCCATTCGGATGGACCATCCTAAGTTTGATGGGACTGCTCCACACACTATAGTCCACTGGATCTTTGTCGTGGAGAAATGCGGTGGCGCAGCCTATTGAGGAAGACACAAGAATGGTGTCGTGCGCCATGTCTAACTTACGAGGCAAAGCGCCAGATTGTGCATACTCTACGCTTGTGGCGAGCGCAAAGGTGATCCCTCCATGGGTGACCTTCAAAACAAAGATTCGCGCCATGTATCAGCCGCCTAACAATGAAGTTTTACTCCAGGCGCGCTTCTTTAATGCACGACAGGCGAAACTCTTTCTGCAAGAATATGCGCAGGATATGCGTTCGCTGTCGGCGTACGTTACCTCGGGTACGATACCGAAATATATGAAGGTGCCTACGTTCATGAACGGACTACGGCATGGCCCATCGCGCCAAGCCTTTTTTGTAACGGGGTAGCCCGTTACACGAAATTGTCATTAAAACAATTTGACGATAACGAGTTTACCTTGAATATTCTTTTAACAATATTTCAAAGGATGATGATATTGTTGGGATGACCGAAGGGTCTACTCGTTGGTTGATATCGTGATGATATCAACCCATCGCTACTAGACACGCGCAATGGGTGGTGAGTAGACGTCATCATACGTTTCGTTAGATGAATATGATTAAGTCAGGACGAACAGAGACACAAGAGTGATAGGACTTAATGTATATTAAATGACAGTTTTACTTTTACCGCGACTAGAGCCTTTGCCTTAGTCGTTACCTTCCTCTGTGTAAGTGTTTACACCTAGCTAAGCACTGACCTTCGCTGTTGTCAGTGAAAGGTAAACTCCGTACTGGTAGTCCAGTACGTAGTCGTCGGTGCCATGTTACACTTTTAAAAAGGTACCAAGGACTATGGAAGAGGCAATCTTAATTGCCATATTGAGGATCAATCTTACAGCAGTACCACGGCGACAGCTTATTACAATTCGTCGGCCCAAAAGTCAGATGCCACTCCAATGAAATTGGGCAACGCAGATGTAGTCTGCTACAAGTGCGGCAAGCGAGGCCATATGATGGCTCTCTGCTTTGCCAAACTTGCTGCTGGTAATCAAACCTTCATAAAAAGACTCCTCACCCGAAGGGTCGTGCGACGAACTAGCGTGCACGACCAACGAGGTCAGCACCTGGCACTGAAAAGTCAAAAATTTCGGGATCACAGTAGGGGAGGGATGCCCCACTTTCACGAGCTCTGAAGTTACCCTATGTTTATAGTTATCGAACAAATGGGTAGCATAGTCCCTGAGCTTTCGAAAGTTCGGACCTCAACCCTGCTGGTTTATAGCGCTCGAGTACGAATCTATAATTAGATGATGGCCCTTCTCGTTAACTCGGGTGCATCGCAGAATTTTGTGAAACTCGCGGCTCTTGAAAACAGTCCAGCAAGTTTTGAGTCGGTTTGCCAAAATGGCAAGCAAGAATAGGCGACCATTTGTTTAGAGAATGGAGCGCTCGTAAAATCAGAGGAAGTTTAAGTTGAACTGGACTTCAGCTTTAGTTACTTCTCCAGTAAAGAGAAATTTACAGTCCCAGGAATGGAGAGTTCATATGATCTCATCCTAGACATGCCTTGCCTGGCTAAATACCAACTATGGATAGACTGGTGTACACACACAGTCGCTAACTATACGCAGAACACCGGAAAGGAAGTGCTTTTACGAGAGGCCTATGTGACTGAAGCTGTGTCATACACAGTCGAGGCTGAATTGATGGTATGTCAAACGGCACCGAGTTCTACTAAGCTCGAAGCGAATCGAGTAGTGAATGGGACGATGGCAAGAAGTCATGCGTCTAATGACCCGTCACAGAGCCTTGAGTCTGGTGCGGTTGAAAAGGGTGCGTGAGGTTCAACAGCAACAGCACCCAGTTCCAGGTCAAAATTCGTGGTGACTCGAAGAACGACCGTCCGACGTACTAAGACGATAAAGAGCACGTCTAAACAAGTGAGCCTTGGATCAGTCTCAGTTAAAGAGGACGGACCTGCGAGCGCGTTGTTCAAGTTCGTCATACACAAGATACCGGAGACATCCTCAGCTAAGGTGCTCCAGCATGTCGTGGCATCTACCGAGGAGATAGCTAATCTCTCGAAGACAAAGTGGGATCTGCTCCTGTCCTATCTAAAGAATGGAAGGATTCACGAGATATTCGCGCTAGTCCAGGAAGATAATTTAGTAAATGTTTTTTCGTCCACAATAGACGAGAGTGTCTTGGAGACCTACAAGAAGAAACGACTCGCTGCTAAAGGCTTGAAATCTTTGAAGGACAGCCCGTTTTATATGTTCTGATGGAAACACCGTGATATGCTCCCAGCAGATTTGCCGAGCCGCCTACCTGCCGATAGGGGCATCACGCACGAAATTGACCTGGAACATGGCACCAAGTATAGTGTGAACAGGCAATGGCCGTTGCCGAAGGAACAAATCTATTATATCTATTAGTTCTTCGACAAGCGGACCAAGGCGGGACGTGTAGGTAAGAGCAAGTCGCCTCACTGCAGCCCCACCTTCTTCGTGCGTAAATTAAAAGGTGGATGGCGCGTGGTTCATGCTTATAACAAGCTGAACACGGCGACCATTCCGGCGAGAAAGCCAATCCCGCGGAAGGATGTCCTGATGAACTTAATGTGTAAGCAAATTATCTTTTCCGCGTTGGATTTGAAGGATAGTTACTATCAAGTTCTCCTGCGAGACACTGATGTAGCCAAAACGGCAGTAAGCACCCCAAGCGGTATGCTGTGGGAGTGGCTTGTGATGCCACAAGGGTTAAAAAATGATCCGGCCACATTCAACCGAGTGGTAACTCACGTGATGAGTCACCACCGTGCCTACGCTACACATTATTTTGAAGATATTTTTGTGCATAGTAAAGCGGAGGACTGGCTAAGCGAAATAGAGTCGCACAAGCTTAATTTGGACGCTATGTTGTAGAATCTGGGTGACGCCCAATTGTACGTTAACTTGCAAAAGTACGTCATAGGGGTCCTTGAGATACCTGTACTGGACTACATAGTGGGTGCATATGGTGTACGACCATACCCAGAAAAGGTAAAAGACGTCAAGGAATGGCCATCCCCTCGACACGTGATGGACAGGCTTCAG